TTAACCAGGCAAGGCGATGAAAGAGTTCGATGAAATAATGATGGTACCAGGTCGATAAATAGTACGCCTCTGCGCCCTTCTGTCAAGGGTGGAGAGAAGGGGCCATAAGGCCCTTCAGGGTCCGCGCTAATGCCAGCCGAGAGAAGACAGCTATCAAAAGCCCGTATTTAAATATTATCAATGAAATTACAGTGCTCACTGCTTGCACAGCCAGCTCGGTCATTACCGACTGGCAATTCGGCCTCTTTAATCGCCATTGTCAATACTAATCGACATCGTCGTTATTTAATATGCTCCATCCCATTTTTCTTTTATGGATCCTTTTATGTCGAACCATTCGTTGCTTTTGCTTCTTCCTGCAGGAGTCCTTGGGAACAGTCTAACTTGAGTGAAACAGATAGATTGATCAGCAATTACGCGATTTTTCTTTTCAATACTATTATAAATAATTAAGATTATGATACTTAATATAATAACAAATGTACATAATGACAAAAAAATAATTGAAATTGGAACTCTCAAACTTTAAAATAATAAATAATAATAAGATTAAGGCTAATGAAAGTCAGAGCGGAAATAGATGCGCATAAGTTTAATTCATATAAAATATTTCATAATAATAAATGATGTGCAGCTTTATTACGAAATCTTGAACGTTTCCACTCTCTTTCGAGTCATTCTCAACAAGTTATACATATTTAACGATCAACAATGTTGGAGAATGATCTGTCCATGATGAGTCACTATCAGTCATTCCCAAAACTGTAGCGGAATCTCAAACAAAGTCAACACGTCAACCATGAAACTTTGGCAATATTACAATAAATTCGCTATAATAATAATAATAATTAATCATGCTACGAGCACCTAATTAATTAACAGTAGACAATTCAGAATCTTGAATAATTCAGAATCATTTATTTATTATTTTAAATGTACGTAACCATGTATTTCAGATTAAGAAAATTTATTCTTTACGTTACTCTTATAACGCTTCGTAATTTACAATAATCTAATTAACGAATTTACATAAAAAAAGCATTTCTTCCATTGTATCAGCTGATCGGAAAAACGCTGACTGCATTATATAAGAAATTACGTATCATACAGAAATATGTATAACGGGGATGGTGATTCGATTGCCGTCGTTACGTATTTTCCGAGTTTCCAAATCCATCGTTCGCTGGATGCACGCATAATAATTGTGAGCTGCAATTAGTAACCGGTACGGCAAATAGTATCGGTATTGCTATCTGCATTAAGTGCCATTACCATACCGGCGAACGGAGCAGCGATAGAAAGGAGTGGGAATAATTAAAGCACTATGATCGCTATCTAAATAATTAGGACTTGGCGTGACTCTCTGCGTGCCGCTGTGTACAACGCTCGTACGCGAACAGTCAGATCGTAGATTTCACGAAGCGCGAGCATAATTAGGCGAGAGATATGAACGCAAAATCCGCGTATTTAAATCTCAATGTTGTGAGGAAGCCTTGTGTCCGAATCGCGCTCAAGCAGAACGAACCTCGTCTAAAGACATACCGAATTCTTGCGTGATATAGATCGAAGATATGTCATTTGTTACTTCCTTTAGAATAATTATTTTTGAAAATTAATTTTATTATTTCGATTAAAAAAATTTTACTTTTAAACGCAGAGTGATACTCGACATTTTATTTTATATTTTGTATTACATCAACGTATAAAAGAAAAAAAGTTTCACGAAATGTATTGAATTAGTCTAATAAAAAATAATGATTAATTACTTATTTTAAATATTAAAAGCACTGATTAACACTGCTTTTAATTTTCAAAGTAAAGAATTAATCAGTATCTTTCAGTATTAAATTAGCCAGTATTAAACTGGATTTCTATATGGAATTTTTGACATTTTTTAAAATAATATCTCATACAGTAACGAGGGTATATCAATGAGTTCGAAAGTAAAGAAATACATTTGTATTGTCTTGCTTTATATTTTTTATGCCATTTTTTTTTCGAAATGTCTTTATTGAAAGTACGATTGAAATGATGAAGATGCTTTCTTTTTGCTTGTTTTCTGCCGCGTCGAAATAGAGAAACGGGGTCAGAAGGCAGATACGTGTCGGCACTGTCAAAGAGTTTAGCTGCAAGACACGCGAATCAGAGATGCGATCTGATAAGAAGCGGAGAATCTCGGTGTACCGCGTACGAACCCCTGCTGTGTCCACGCACCTTAAAGCACCATTCTCACGTGCGGCGACATAAGCAGGACCCACGTGCTCGAGATACTCTCGCGGTAGTGATTAAAGAAACGCTACATTAGTACCCTAAATAAATTATATGATATCTACATAAAAAAAGTTATTGATTGTATTTCTTAATAATGTTTGTTTAAAGTTGCAAACATTTAAAATAAAATTATTATTTAAGGCTTATTTATTCGTCACTATTATTTCAGAATATGATGTCAGAAGAAAGTGAAATAATAAAAATTTTTATAAAATATATTAATATGGAAATATGTTTTAATAAAATAACACACAATCAAGAGACTTGTAAAACATATATATTAAAAATTATCCTTTTGTTTTGCAAATATATCACAATTATAACAAAATATCAAATTACAGATATGAATATGATTTAATTTCTTCTTAAAACAGATTTTTGATATATTTTATTTTTATTATTAATTATAAATGTTGCTTTAATGAAAAATATTTTTATTCAAATTTGCAAGAATTTAATTATATTTTCTCATTTCTGACATCATAATTTGAGATAGTAATGGTGAATGAACAATCTGAACTTTGTTGCAAAAAAAGTAGGTTTTTTTTTTATTAAGAAAGTAGTAGAGATGAACTGATCGTAATATTGTATGATTTATTATGCTTGCCTGACAACGTAAGTTTTTACGAGATTAAGACAGAGGCAATTAATTTTTAGATGCCGTCGATAAAATCCGTTTCCTTCATATAAGTTACGTAAACGATATCTAAGTGTAATGTAGACTACACCGTTATAACGAAACGTGAGTGTATGCCTTTGAAGTAAATAATTATTTCTAAAGGACTGTGTTACGTCTTCGAAAGTTGCATTAATTTCACTGCACCGTTCGATGATCTCAGCAGTCACGTTCGAGCAATATCGAATAAAGACTGTGATTATATACGATAGTTGATGACGAACCTAAGCCGACCTATCCCGCGCGAGTCGGCAGCTTCGAGCTCGAAACCAATCCGTATCGGTCCAGTCTGGGATTAATCGATGTTTTGTTCTGCAGCGAAGTGCTTATTAAGGCCATGCCTTATTAAGCTTCATGGGCATGCAAACGGGATGGGATCCGTGATGGTAGATTTGATCACGAATGAAATGGCGACCGGTCATTGTATCAAGCCGAAGAACAAGTTTTATTACAAGCAATCGCGACCGACAATAATTAAATTAATCTCGCGGACAGAATCTAGGCTTTAAAGTTGTACCGTGAAATTCACGATACAACTGTATCGTGTATTCTTTGGACTTATTTTTATTCTCGAGCGATTTTTACAAGTTCAATATTTGTGTTATTAAGTACTCAACATATTTAGTAAATTTTCAATACAATGCAAGCAGCAAAATTTACAATTATATAATGAATTTTTTGTTTATTGCACAATATCATATGCTCAATAATATGCTCAATCTTAATATATTCTTAGACTTTAATAATTATAGTTATTATAGTTATGACTAAAAATAAAATCTAAGCAGTTTTCAATTTCTTTCGAGTTACCCTGCGTTTTCTTCAGCACACATTTCTTCCTATACTGATTTTTGCAGGCATACTTGTAAGGTTTCTTATCAATGTGTGCGATATGTGCGAATATGATTTGTAAACTGTGCCTTCACGTATCTTGCAGAAATCGCGCTTGAACCGCTTTAGTCTGATATGCCAATATTTATGCATCTTCAAACTCCAAGGTCTCTTGTATCTCTTGTTGCAATATTTACAGGGCTTGATTCCTACAAACCGAAGTAGTTAAAAAATTGTTACCTTTGTCTGTTTTGCAAAATTCAAAAAACATTAAATCTAAAATATTTTTAATCTTATAATATAGCGCAAGAATTTGATTTAAAAATTAATTAATTATATCTAAATAGGGTCATATATTTAATCTCAAATATTTCTTATTCGGAGTTTCTTATTCGGTTTCTTTACCTCTTTAGATCCAGTACACAGCAATATATTATACATTAAATTTGAAGACATTATTTACTGGTTGAAATTATTTACTTCTATTGATATCATTTGAAACCAGATAATGTATAACATAATAATAATGTATAACGTATTGGAAAAATTTTGAAAAAAATTGTTTAGTGTGAATTATTTATTAAAGTTAATATATATATAGAACAAAATTTTTTACACGATTCCTTAAAATAAAATGAAGAAGTTAATTGTTTTTCTTTTTAACATTTTGCACAAATTAGAATTGACATCATAGAAAGAATATATTCTTCTATAATATTCTTTCATCTATATTACATAGTATAATATAGCATATATTTTTTATTACATGAACATATATGTATATAAATTTATTAACTAATAATTATCAACTTGTCTGTATGCAAAATAAAATAAATCACTAAAATACGATATATAATTGTAATATCTTCAAAGCGAAAGAACTTTTTAAACAGCGAGTTGATTCGCGGCGAAGAGAGGAGTTCGCTTCCATACGTTCACCCCGGTTAGACAGAGGTTAATTAAAAGTACGGAATACATTTCCGCCGCGGAACGCCCAGGTCGCACGAGAAACGCGTAGCGTTAAGTATTTACATTGAAAAATAACGTTTATGCATGATCATTTGTACATGTTGCGAAGCTTCCAATTATTTCGAAAAATTCTGTCTATGACGATCGTTTCGCAGAATAAACTAATCTTCATTGAATTTATATGAAAAATATAATAATCCTACGGTCTCAATAAAGGAAAGGAGGAAAGATAACAGAGACATAAACAGTGTGATCTCTTGCAACAGAATAGTTTAATCAGACAAACACCTTCCTCTGCGAAGCGCAAAGAAGTTGTGAGAATATTCACAAGTTTACTGTTATGTGACAATATGTTCTTTGAGTGGCCTTTCAGCTGAAAATGTCGCTTACATATGTTGCACTCGAATCTTCTCACTTTCATGCGTCAGCTTGTGCGTTTTCAGCATTGACTTTCTCTTGAACTTCGCTGGGCAAAAATCGTGTGTCCACAACAAGTCTGTGATATGGACAAGTACATGAGTCCGGAAACTACTGGGCTTCGAGAAGCTTTTGCCGCAGATTAGATATTCGGCTTCGTATTAATTATATGTATTAACTTATGAACACGCAGCGATTGATAGCGTCCCTTTTTTTTTGCAAAAGTCACTTAACCGTTCTTCTTCTGCTAAAACGTGCTTCAGTTTCGTGTTTCTTCAACGCATTTTTCATCTGTAATAAAATCATGATATGTAATTATTATTTGTTTGGATAAATAAACAATTTTTTAAATAACATTTTTTAAATAACTATGAAATGTTTAAAAGATATCCAAAAAGCAACTTGATTTTTCAGAAAATATAAAATTATTTTAAATGTAAATTCTTTAGACTTTTACGTGTTACTTAATTGATTTTTTATAATATTATTTGATAAATTAGAAATAGATAGAATATAATTTTGCATGCAACAGAGAAACTTCATTAAGTGTTCATTAATTTGAAAACAAAGCGCGCCAGTTTGTGTAACAAAGAGTTCGAAGAGATCTGATATTAAGGTCATTTACAAATAGTTATTAGCATTAACTACCTGAAATTCGAGTTCTCATTGTCTGCACGCGAGACGCTTCGGAATAAAATGCGTATGCAGATGATTCTCTAAAGTTGATGATCTTGATAAAAATAATAATTGCATTATTAGTATCAAGTATTACATAGCGACGAAGGCCATTTTAAGTCAGTAAAGAGAAATAAAAATATTGAAGAATCTTTTTGAATCGTATAATATCTATAGATAATAGTTTTGAATCGTAATAATATTTATAATAGTATTTCGAATATAAAAAACTTATATAAAAAAGAACATTAAACATATATATTACATATGTATACATTTTTTTCGAAAACTAGTAATTTGGATCGAAATTAATTCTAATTTATTTAAAATTGATAATATGCAAAATATTGATGCAATTGTTCCTCTATATTAACAATGCAAAACTAAAATAAGATTTTCTTTCATTTGGATATTATTCGCATACTTGGAGATTTGATTAAAATAAAATCCGCACTGGAAAAATCTTCCATGGCTTTATCAAATCCTATGAGTCTTGAACACGATCTCATTCGGAAATTTGATCCTGCAGACGTTGCACATTAAAAGCTTTATTCTTGTTAGTGCGGTGTATTCCTTTAAATCGATGTACTTGTCCATTTGTCGCTGAGAAAGTGAAACGCTTGCATTTTTTTGACAGCCCGATTCTGGGATCTGTTCAGAATTTTCATGAAACGGTATACTTTTTTCGACAGTTTGTTCTCGTACTATTCGATATCCAGCACGTTGGACGAAAAATTTTCGTTCTTATCCAAAATCTTGAACTTCACTTTAAATTTCAAAACAGAAAACAATAATATTACACACAAAATAATTTTAAACAGAAAACAATAATATTACACACAAGTAATTACACGCAAAATTGTAATATAAGAATTTTTTTTACGCTATCCTTTAATATTTCACTTTTCGTATTTCATATTAATGCATAAAGTAAAGTACCTATTTATACTTTTGCAAGTTATATTTTTATATTTGCTTATGCGAATTTAAATACGATTATACGAAAAATAATATAAGGGGTGCATGAATATGAAAAGTTTTGCTAATAAATATCTAGACAACACTATTGAAAAAAATTATTCGCGTGCATGATTTTGTTTTGATTTTGATTTTTTTTTTGATTACTTATAAAATCACTGAAGAATTTTCATTTTTTTTCTCAGTGAATTAGTAACATTTGTGAAGATAATAAGCTCAAATACACATTTATAATTTTTGTAGATATTTCAATTTTATGTAATATCCCTGCTTTTAAAATATCCCTGGTTTTCTAAAATAATGTTATTGAATTCCCAGCTTTGATAATTGCGAATATATAAATACGCCAAAATGTTTTGCAAGATTGTTTTAGAAATGTCGACATTCGGAAAGGAAATATATATCGTGCGGCGAATTTATCACTTTATCGTAATTAGCCGGTTTCGGTACTAATTTATTCGTATTATTAATCTAATTACGCGCAGAGGTCGAATTATGAAATCAGTATATCATTAAGATATCTAGTCCTTTTCAGATGTAACCATGTTAAGTACCTCACGCAGATTAATTACAAATCGTGTTAGAGGATCTGGTATGATATTTTATTACTTAATGAATAATTGCAACGAAGCGTAATTTATATTGCAATCAAAGTAAATATGTATAAGCAGAATGGAAGTAATCATAGGGGTATATCGTTGTTTTTGACTTAACGAATGGAAAGACGGTCGGAGATTTATATTCATATATTTATATTCATATGCACTATCAAATATCGTGAGATTATTGACAATATTGAAAACTATATGAAGTTATTTTAATATTTATACAATAGAATAGCACCCCCGACAGACCCCTAATTAAGATAGAAGATATAACGGGAAGATAAAACATATAGAATATTTGTAACGATATTTGTAACATATATAAAATTTGTAACGTATATTTTGTATTATATTTGTAAGATATAGATCTGAGAAATTGTAGAATATTTTTAATTGCATCCGTATCGAGAAATATACGAAGTCAAGCAGCATCAACTGTTCTGTTTTTTATTCAGTGTAATTAGCGGCTATTGCTGACTGTTGTCCGTTTGCATAAAATAGTGCAATTGAATGAAATTAGAGGAAACGAGTTGTACGTATTCCGTTTACTCGGAAAACCGGAGGAGGAAGTATCGCGCTCCGAATAATTCTTGTGCAAGCATAGGAAGTAGCTTATTTATGATCCCTCCGCCCACACTGCTTATATGTGCGTTTTTATCTGCCGCAACTAAACAATTAGATTTTTAATGAAGCCGATTTGTAGAATATTTTTATACATAAATGAAGTGTGCAGTTTTGATCGTTTTTCAAATTAAGTAATCGCGATCATGTACATGTAAACGCCATGATTAAGCTATAATACTGTAAATTAACTTATAATCAATCCTAATTATAGTATATTTTCATGGGAGAGATTATTTTAAAAAATGTCATTTTTAATTTTATAAAAGAACATAAGGATAATATGCAATGTTAGAATTATTAAAGATACCCCAATATTAAAACCCGCTATTTTTTATCTTAATATAAAATCTAGAGTTTTAAGATTTTTTACATTTTTTTAAATTTGACAAAAGAGAGAAAAAGAGAGATATATTATGAGAGGTATATTTTTTCTTTTTATTAATTTAGGAAGGTTTGTACGTAATATTCACAAAAAACTTCAACTCTGTCAGCTTAGTAATTTCAAAAGAGATAAAAAATTTAGCTTTTTGAGGACAAAGTTATTTGATGGTTTTAGTGTCAAATAAAAATATCATTTTATATTTATAAAGAATGATAAATATGATAAATCTTAAATAGAAGCTAGCTACATAAGCGATCTATACAGATACAGAGTATCAAGGACAAAAATAGATTCGTACAGGCTATTCACTTTCGTTCTGTTATTTTCCCTCTCGATTTCGTTGTCGCGGTCGCGAGCAAGAAATTCAGTGGAAAATCCTCTCGAGCGGTCAGACGTGATCTCGCACGCGCTATAGACGCCTGTGGAAGTATTATTAAACTCGGATGTGTGAAACGCACTCAACATTGCGAGATAGGCAATGAAGAAACTGCCCCTACAAATTTGATGCATATGATATGATGAAGTTACAATGTGACTTTTACATAAGATATCTTAGAATTATTTCCACTAAGCTAAATTACAAGAAAAATGAAAGAAATATCATTTCTTTCAATATTGAATTAATTGACAGAATGTTTAGCATTAATTGTACATAACGTATGTGTGTGTATAAAAAATGATCAGCGGATATAAGCAGTGAGTAAAATGCAGCTGTTGAATCTACGACAGTTCGTTCTATCACATTTCTTGTGGAATATGTCGTTTTCTTCCTCGATATATGGTCCTTGTCGTATCTTACGAACAATCCGTTCCGCCATGGACATTTCTCTTGCGCGCATTACGAATCGTTACATTACTAAAGCGACCTGCTTTTCCGCGACTTTCCCACGGCGGTTTCCTGTCGTTTAACTCTTCGATTTAATTTAACTCTGGTTTTGCATCTCCATCACAGCCTCCACGTGCTTTGCCTGACGACGACATCGCGCACGCGTCGCAAAAAGCACCGAGGACGGTCCCCGTCGATCGTGCAAATAAATCCGCGACGGCACATGATGTGCGCTCGTTCACGAGCTGATGCATTATTTCATGGAACGGCGGTAAGACCTGTGCAATTGAACTCGCCGCGACGGTGAAACGAAGAGAACGAAAGAGACGAACGGGGCGCATAAGCGGTGGGGCCGCGTGTGGGAAACTCGTCGGATGCATTATGTATTTATCGCTTTACTTACTTAGTTGGGAATTACTTTGCCATCGTAATGACTTTCAGCATATAGCGCGACTATCTTAGGAATGCCATACTCTTGATTTATCGCCTGGACCCGTTTTTCTCGAATCATTTTGTCGCTAACGTGCTACCTGCTTCGACAAGCATCCGCGATCAACATCGACAACGATCTTGACTTGCGTCGCGGGTCCAATGACCTTCCTGAATCTTGAATTGCAGTAATAATCGAAGTGTAAGTTGACAGGAAACGTTTCTTCACAGAAGAACTGTTGACATGAAAAAAAAAAGATTACTTTAATTTTTTTAATTTTATACTTGAACGTGGTTATTCTCTATTAATAGAATTGCCTTAAATATTAATTTAAAAACGAGAATTCGCAGCTATATGTCGAAATTATTTTAAAAAAAAACGTTGATGCATATCTGATTAAACGAAATTAAAATAATATGATTTCTGATTGTCATTAATTAAATAATCTTATATTTAAATCAAAAACTTTGTTATTTTCATCAGAATTTATGCAACCATGTGTGTCTGATTACCATAATCAGAATATGTACAATTAATTTTGTCTGATTACTATGTAAAAGTATTTCAGATTAATTCAACCAATTTTCTTCAGTATAAAATAAATTAATTATTTGGTTACAAATTTTGTATATATATATATATATATGCACTGAAAAAAATTTTGATCTTCAATTTTGATTTTTAATTTAATGAATGTTCGACTTAATGTCTGACTTAATATAGTTAATTCATTGCTACAATAACTGGATTCATTTATATAACCCCATATTCATTTTGCAATGAATTCTAGTAATAAAAGTTTTATAATCTAAATTATTAGAGAATTTGTTGAACCAATTTTCATTAATTCAATGAATATTTTATTACGTACAGTTTTGGTTCAGTGTAGAGTTATATGTCATTCACATATTCATTACGTGCCAGAGTTCAATCACTTATTCACGATGGACACGTTTGTGTAAAAGAACGCGCGTTGAGTTGCTGTGCGAATAATATCGGGAAATTGAATACGCGGTACGTATCTAGCATTAATGAACTAATTATGGCGAGGATATATCCAGGCAGTGCCTGAAAGCGATGTCTTTAGCGAGACGCCGATATCGTCGACGCCAAAGAAATCGTATTTATTTTTTCATGCAATCATTTCGCTAATTGCCTCTCGCGCTATGCCCGCGTGCACGAGAAGATGCAATAAATATTCGTGATTAATTAAGAATCCGAGATATGCGAGTGTTTTATAAAAGAAAGAGAGAAAGAAAAAAGATTGCTTTTGTGCGTTCTCTCTCTTCTAATTGGACGCAATAATCGGATAATCTTTCTTGATGTTTAGAGGATTTTACTGTAATATCGCATAATTGAAAAAGTACATGTGACACATATTTTTTGTATATTATCTTTGTTTAAAAACAATTATAATCTGTTTATTTAATTTGTTTCAATTTTTCTGTTTTTACGAATTGCAGTCTAAATAAATGACGTAAATATGTATTGCGTACACAATAAAAACAATAAAAAAAAATGAAAGATTATATATTAATTCGATATATTCATATTGAAATAAATTTCTACTGTAAGCAAAATATTCTTTGCATAATAAGATGACTCAACAATTATGTAAGAGTGGATATTATTTAAGTAAGTGGGAAAGGATACTTTTGTAATTAGCTTTGTACTTTGAAGTTCGTATTTCGATATACACTTTAATACAAGCAAAAATGAAACAAGATGACAGTTATAATTCAAATTGATGGGGAATATTAGCTAAATATTATAAAAATGTAAACGTTAGATAATTTGCTTTGTTGATTCTAATTGTCTTATCTAATGTTATTTTTAAAAGTGCGATTGATAATATTTTTAAAAAGTGTTAGAAAGAAGGAAATGTTATCATTTCTCTTATCCGATTATTGAAATTAAATAAACAACATGAGAGAGAGAGAGAGAGAGAGAGAGAAAGAGAGAGAGAGAGAGAGAGAGAGAGAGAGAGAGAGAGAGAGAGAGAGCGAGAGCGAGCAATACTTTAAAATGGAATAAATTCTTACACGTCTACATTATTACAAATACATTGTAGATATCTGCTACGAGTTTATTGAATGACGAATCATTATTAGTATTATTGATAAATCTAAATAATTCCGCCAATAATCTGTTAGAATTCCTTCTTATCTAATCCATAATACACATTACTGCAATATATCATATTCGTTTATCAATCATAGACCTTGATTTTTCTTGAAAACAAATTATAAATATTTTATGCTAAGAAATAGAAAAATACATTCATCATACATTTTTAATTCAAAATCATAGATTGTATAAAACCAGCTTCTAATAGAATACTTATGTATTAAATTAAAACACCATACTCTCTAAATTTCTTGAAGTGAAATGTCACTTTAAAAGAGTTAAAATATTGCTACTATTAAAAAATTCTTGAATAAAAGAAGTATATTTTCATTTTTTTCTGGATTGAGATTCATTCCAAAGGAAAGAAATCTTACTTCATCTTTTAAATGAATCTCATTCCAAAGTGTGAAATCTCATTCTTAAAAAAAAAAAAAATCTGCCATTCTTAAGAGCGTAAACTTTGCATTAATTAGTTTTTCTTTTACTTTCTCTCTCTCTCTCTCTCTCTCTCTCTCTCTCTTTCTCTCTCTCTCTCTCTCTTCCTTTAAAATTTATCTGATAAATCTGATAAATCTGCAAAGAGAATTACAAATGTTCGTTGTGTCATCAAACTGCACAGATCGTTTTGTACGATGAAAAGTACAACATATCTTCTGGGAAAGATGGTTTTCTCAGATCTCAGATACGCAGATCTAAGATACGAAGAAAAAGACGGCCGGCCAGAAGATCCAGACACGGGATTTCCCTGATCGATAAATCAGCTCTCGCGCGATTCGTCGCTTAACGACACAATGAGAGCCGAGAAAACTGTTCCGCGCCATGACAGGATATGTCATTACTGCATTACTTATAAAGCCTCTTTGCGGCTACGCACGTCGCATACGAATGAAATCGCATCGCGATCCGCACGGCAGCTATTACAAAACCTATAGAAAAAGCGACCTACCCGGCACGCCACGTATGCAAGGATACAATTGCGAGAGTCCGGCTCTTAATCGAGCATTAAATATGCACGTTGAATATTGATTGATCGATCCGTGGAAAATGCGTTTCTTTCGCGCCTGGAATTCGCATGTGTTTTTATCATCAAGAACATTGCGGATGTTGTCGGAGAAGACAAATCATATCGATCATAATCACATAGTTTTAATTGTAACTGTATTCTCATAAACTATTCATCAGTGATAAATTATGATTCAACTATGCAGTTGTCGAGGAAATTTAAAACCTGAACTTATCCAAGTAAACAGATATTTTTTATGATTGTCTAAGGACCTTAATGAAATTTTGAAATTTTAATTTCGAAATGAAAACGTCTTTCATCAAGTTACTCAGACATATATGCTTTGTATAAAAATTGCACCCAAGACTTAGCGGAGACTCATCCTTCCGCATATTCTTTCGACGTCTCGGGATGTGTCAAGAAATCCCGACGAAATGGCGATGTCGCCGTCGCCCCGGTCGACACCTATCCCATAAATAATCTCGACATCGAAATTCATTTGACGGATCCATCGATCGGCGATGAGTTTTTCCCCCACCTGTTTCTCTGTTCTTCCTGTACGACGTATTCAGTGCGTCAACGATTGGTAGTGTGTCGATGTTGTACGTGGCGAGTATAGCTGTCGTCGCAGTAGCATCCCGTCGGACAGGTTATAGACGCCCTTCGTCGCCCGATAAACACGCTATTTCTTCAAGCGAGCAAAAGATCGAGCCGCCGATCCCATCCGTAATGCTCGCATGTCCGCGAACTCGACCAGCGGGTACCCAACCGGCGTTGAAGCCTCCGCCAAGAAAAGGAAACGAGTCGGCATCCCGCGGCGGGGAGGTTGTAGACGAGTTAAACGGGCCATAATATCATTGTTTCTGCCGCCGAACACGTATAACATCCGGACCTACCGAAATCTTTCGACCATCCACTCTCTTCTCAACTCGAGGACAAAACCTCGAGAAACAAAACGATCCAAAAAAATATGAGTCTTCGTGTACCAGCGAGTATCCACTTAGAATCTGTGTAGAAACACAGGAAATATTTCACTGAGAAATCGATAATCTAGCTTACGTCGTGTTAAGTCGGCGATAAATTTTTAAGTATAAGTGTCTGATAATGAAAGCATTGCGACAAATTGATTTACGTGAAAATGATCAACATTACTTCCAATTCTAGAAAAAAGATTATCAAGAGATCTATAATCAAAGATTGAAGAAATGCAGCATACAAGTAAAGAAAATAAGAGAATATTTTTTCAGAATAATCTATTTAGAATGAAATATAGCTTATTTTAAGTTGAAAGATCCTCTATAGCACGAAAGTTGCAGCAATATTGCAGAGATTTTTGCAATAATATTGTTGCAAATTCTGTGTTGTATGAGATGTACCAGATGATACATTCGTATTTATATTAATTATAATATTAGCACAATGCACACATAATTGTGTTGTTATCATTATTTCAAATGGGTTTTTGTTTCTCTTTTGTAAAAGAACAAAATCTATCATATAAATAATAATAAACTAGTAATAATTAAATAAATAAAGAAATAATCCTATTATTGTTGTTTATGAAATATGTTTATCATAACAATTTTTTACATACAGTAAAAAACATTATAGCAAATTTCTTTATCTTTATAAAAATTTTATTATCTAACACAAATGCAATCTAATCATTCTAATGGGAAATATTATTGAAGCGTATTCATTACTTTGTTCTTGTAATTAAATAAATCAAAGTTATCATTATAGATAAGATAACTGTAAATTAGTATTAAGGTTGCGTCACTAATCATTATAGTTTAATAATTTTTAGTGCAAGAAAAGAAAACAACATCATTTTAAGGCACTGAATTCGAATCTGCCGCCAGAAAAATTAAGAAGAATTTTTAAGACACAGTATATCATTTTCAAGACGTAGCATGTCATTTTTAAAATATAGCATATCATTTTCAAGACATAGCATGTCATTTTTTAAGGTATAGCAAATTCTTTCCAAATAATTTGATTGCGACAAAATATCTCCACCAAGATTTGACGACAATTGAAATTGAAAAAATGTTATCAGAAATATAGGAACGAAAACATGTTAAGTGATTACACTGGAGATCGATTGTGAATTTTGAAATTAGATGAAAATTATAGAAGTCAATTCACTAGAATATTTATAATTTTATTGGTCAACATCTAGTGAATTTGTATACTTTTGTAATTTTTATTTCGTTTCAAGATACACAATTAATCCCTCGGATTTTAATGAATCCGATTAATCGTATAAAAAACAAGAATTAAATGTTTAACATTTTTTTTCTAATTTTATTTAAACTTTTCTATATATTGGAAAAAATATCTTTTCTTATATCTTAAAAATCCGATCGAGCACGTATTATGGAATTGTTCGGAATGGATTCCGATCGAAATTATTCCATTTTCCTTAGAAAATATAATAGATGTCTACGGAATAATTCCGATCGGAATCCATTCCGAATAATTCCATAATACGTACCTCGATAAAAATATTTCGATAGCAAATCGATTTCGAATATTCTCCTACAAATGATCTTTATATACTCTTGCATAAAAACTTTGTAAACCGATGTAATTATTATCATGATCCACAAAAATGTAAAGCGAGCGTCACGTATATCAGCAAAGAATATTTAAATCTTTGCGATACTTTTATAAAATGATCGAATCTCTTTATCCTAGGTTTCTTTTATGTTCCAAAGTATTTATATTTATTTTGCAACTACGATAGTCTTTTATTTTATGCTTATGCTACAATTAGAGAAGTAGGACTCGTACTTTTTACATTCTATCAGAAAAGAAAGGGATTACATAGCTATAATTTTATGATGCGTTCATTAATTTAAATGCAGAAACCGACATCAAATACGTATGCACAAAAAATGGGGCAAGGCACTCTCTCAACTCGCTCTGGCATGCACTATCTTCCATATTTATAATAGCTTTAATGAACGCCGTTGCTAAATGTATACGTAGGAATCCGCGACGGAGGAAACTAATCGACAACATGAAATTAATCTACGTTCTAGCCACGAAGATTAAAAACCATGTCACAATATATTATTCGTGACGTCTTCATCAGGATATTTCCTCATAGAACGTTTTGCTTAGAAATTTGTTATTTGTTAAAATAATTTAAAAATATTAATAATATTTATAACCCGTTAAGCATTTTAATAAGCCTTCATTAAGTACTTTATGTGAAGAGAAAGCTTTAATAATTAATATTAGAACGAAAGGAATGCTCATATTTTTGAAATCTAGTTTTCTTTATTTAGTCATTTGAAATTGCTTCATATTCATTGATTCGGTAATTACCAACCTACAAATTGCGCCATAAGAGATATCAGATTTCTACAAATAAAAATTGCAGATTTTCCGCTTTTCCGTGCCGATTACTTTCACGCGTGGGTAATCTTTACTCCCCGCGGTAATGCAAATCTTAAATTTACTCCTTTCGCGTTTGTTCCTCTTCCACGCTTTCTATTACTTTCTATCGCTTCGAAGATCTTTCGCGCACCGCCGCCACCGCAGCTGGACAGATATATACCGGCGTTAAATAATTTCCGCACGGGGACGGAAAGTACTTTAAGCCGGCGCTATCTGCGGGTTGCGCCAACAAAAGGACGACAGGAATCGTTCGACAAGAAACCGATGAAGGGTTTATCTTAATCCACGGTTCACCGAGCAGACGAGCTCCTCGCCAATACCCCTGGGCCACCCCTTTTCATCGTTTATGCCCACCCTCTCGCACCTAACCGATCACACTTCGCTTGTTTTACTAGATATTTTTTGTTATCTGGACTACTTATAATCGTGACCGCGTTTGTAACTAGTCGAATAGTACATACAATCACCGTTCTACCGGAAGCTTCTATAATCGCAATGTTTTTATTTGAATCGATCGTTTCTTCCTTTTACCTACTTTTTCACGAGTAATACATTCCTAGAGACCTTACTTATATTAGAGTTTGGCTATTCTAAGAATGATTTTGTCAACATCCTACGAAAAGAAAGACATAATTTTTTTCTTACATCTCGCTCTAACTTATACTATCTCACTCTATAATCTTAATTAAAATTATAGAGTGGAACGGTATAAGTTGAAATAAAATAATGTACATATAGAGACAAATTATATACATTTTTTTCTCTCGTAGGATTTTAACAAAATTGTCCGTGACCAGATTCTGTTATATAAGAATATAACATCTTATCAGAAAGTAGATAAAAGAAAGAAACGATAAACTCTCTATCGTATTTAAGCTATATTTATCGTTTTAATATTTCAAAGCATGTGAGCATATTATTCTTTACTATTATTTAACGGAAGATATCGAGAATTATTTTAAGTAATCAAAGAAACATTGTAGATGCGACAATGTTGACGGTGCTTCTGAGAGCTCGCAGAAAAAAGAAACCTGCTTAAATGTTCTGTATCAGATCACTTCCGGAGACCTCCGATTCTGCATTCTGAGTAAAAACACTTAACGAAGTTATTGGATGTCTTCGGACCGGCCACAGGATACCGTTAACAAAAACGTGGAACGTCGGCGAGCGACGAAGAAACGAACGATGGTGGCTTGAAGTAGAACGAACCGACCGATTGGTCGATAGTCTGACGCGATCGGTTGACGTTTTCCTGGAACGTTACCATTTCACACTCGCGGGTGGTAGAGGCGTTGCAACAAAAATCGAAGAGAGGGAAAGTCTGACGAATCGATTCGAAAGGATGTCATCATAGTCGAGACTGTGGATGGGCGCAAACACCTGTAACACCGTGTTCACGGCGTCACGTGCCCGGGTGTTGCCGTGACGAAAGTCCCGATGATCGTGCAAAAACCCGCCACGGAATAAAAAGCTGATCGGGCTCGCGCTGTTCGGAAGCCTGGGGGTTCCCCGCCGGTGAGCGCGCTATGAGAAACGTTAAAGCGAGAATTTGTCATTAGATCGTGAGATTTGCGGTTAGATGATGCGAAATCCGATATAGTTCTTGCTTCGGTGATTCTTAGTCAATCATTTATCGCTTTTCTCGTCGTTGTAGCGTAAATCGATTAATTACAGGTCGCTCGTTATTTTATCGCGTAACAATATTGTGTTATGTCAAGAAATTGAATTACCAGTAATATTTAATTCTTAGTTCACGCAGAAGCGAATCGACGATGTCATCTAACAATAAGTGAATTGAACTTCATCTCATGTAAGTGAATCGAAAAGGTGTCCCATCGGTTTATTGCGCGATCAAAGAACTTTCAGTGTACCTTGATGTATGCGTTAAATACATCCAGATCAGACAAGCGTGCGCGTACTCAGTTCTCTTGATCATCAGATATATAGTCAGCATGACTCCACGATCCGCACCCTCGACCACCGACGGTGTCCCGCTGACTATTTATCTTGTTACATCGAAGTGATCCGATTCTAACAGGAGATCAATGACGGCCGCCGACCACCGTGGCTTCTTGTTGCATGCGATTCTTTACGGAAATGTAACGATGACACAAGAAGCTTTATAGTATGAATTGAAAAGTAGTCGTATTATCTCGTATTTCCTGCAATGAGAAAAAATACGTTATTTAATTATACTATATAAGTATCACACGATACAAGTACAGAGTGACAAAATAGTTTAACCGTAAAGTTTTGAGTTTACCAAATCATTAATAACACTAATCGTTAAAATACTAAAGAATTAATATACTAATAATTTTACAAAGAAATAAATTCTTTAATGTTAGTTACATCTTATTAAAAAATCATAATTAATATTCAAAATGGCTACCTTATAGGTTTGTTATAAGTTATTTGAAAGTTATTTTGACATAAAAATGACTTTAATGTCCTTTTGATATCAAAATGACTACAATAACATTAGTTTGCCACCTGAGTAATGATTTAATAAACACAAAATTTTGTAACCAACCTTTTTTTTATTACCCTGTATTAAAAAAAATTAAATTACCATAACACTTGGTTTTTTTCGTATATATTCAGACATATATTCTGATTTCATTCGAGTGCATGCTATCATAAAGAAATGATAAAATTAGATTTAATTGATCGCAGAATATTCAAAATTGTACAAAAATATATTTTATTCAATCGACAAATATATAATGTGACTGATCGAATAATATATACCAAAGGCAATAAATCAATAATGCAGGAACAAACTTCCCGCAATGGCAATATAACGTGCTGCTGGACACTTCATCGAAACGACAGAGGTACGTCAGGGGCCATGTGTTACCCAATAATTGCGTTCGGTAGTCACCTAACAAATATTTATTGCTACTTACTGATCAGTGAATGTAAACGGGTCACCCACTCTAATAGAGAACACCTAATTTTCGTTCAGACGATCGCGATCGAGCTACTCCGTGTCCGAGAAAATTAATTCAATTCGTAGATCCATTCTCTGATGATAACATCGCCGGAGATATTATTGTGAGTCATCACCGGAGCATTCTGAAATATATATAAAAGTATATAACGATCATCGTATTATACAATTAATTTTTGTTATCTTTTGAAAAAGTTTTTCACAATTGGGAACTATAATTTTTAATATAATAAATATTTGTGTTAAGTTTCCTCTCTACCTTACTATTATCAGCGCTGTTTGATTTATTTGCAATATTGTGGGCGAAGCATGATGCGTCGATTATCGACGAACTATGAGACAATTTCCTTTGGACGCTAATCAACCAATAGCGTCAACGCTATTGGAAAAGTACACAGGTCAGGATAATATGGATAAACGAAAATGTTAGGGCGGATAATAGCAAGAACCGGAACGTATGTCAGCTCGACATCATCGCCGAAACGTCAGTAGGTGTTTGGCCAGGTCGCTAATGTAATATTGTTTGCACGAGTATCGGATGTAGACAGCAAGTAACTCGGGAAAAATCGTTAAGAAAGTCTCTAAAACTTATGGACGGCGTTGTATTTCTGATCGTCTTTAAAAGATAAAAATATTATATAGAATATTCTCACGGAATACATTTTTTAGATATGTTACAGGATGGTTTTATGTATAATGTATTTATTTTTTTTTAAATTGAAAATTAGGATGGCAAAATCGAAGAAAAGACAACTAGACAAATATCTATAAAGTAAATAATAAAGTAATAAAGATAACGATAATATTTCAGTAATTATTGCACATAATACTTTGTACAAAAAATTATTAAGAAAATCTCTAGTTTATATGATCATCGTTATATTTCCGATCGTTCTTTAAAAATAAATACATTTTTATTTTTTTACAATATATAACGTATTTATTTTTTATGAAAATTGAGAATGCAAAATCGAAGAAAAGACAACCGCATAGATGAATGTCTACAGCAATAAAGATAACGATGATATTTCAATAATTATTGCGTGATACTTTGCATCCACACTATCGAATGCCGTAAAATGCAGTCTAGCAGTAGAGTTGGCGAATTGCGTTTTCCGCGGACGTTGCCGTATTCCCGCTGTTGCTCATCGCTTTATCTAATTTACACGGATACGTAATTTATACGGATACGTACCGATTAATCGCAGGCAGTTACACCGGCGCGAATTAACTTATCGCTCGCGCTTTGGCCCGAGCGCAACATCATTCGCGCTAAACCGGCCGATGCAGCAACCGCTTCGCGTTGCACCCCATGGGCTGGAAGCATTACGAATCAGGCGTAATACGTGGAAATCATAAATATAATCAACCAAGTGGGAGCGTGCACCAGGCATAAATTGTTCCTGCATTAACGAGATTCGAACGCGTACAACGTTCCCTCGAGCATGCGTTTTCCCGATTCTGCAGAAAAGCAACAACGGCTCGTTAGTCGCTGTAGCATGTGCTACTCATGTCAAACCCGTTCCTTCATTAATCACGGGGTTCATTAAAGGAGCAACTTTATTTTGATATTGTCTTGATGATGGTTACACTTACGGTTATATTTAAACCAAAGTGTTAAGCATTATTCAGATATATTACCTCGTATACTTATAATTGCGTTCATTAAAAATGGAAAGATATTATTAAATGTATAATTTATGCTTAAAAAATTAATTATGAAAAAATGGATACGATATATTCGAGATAATGTTCTTTTATAATTTATAGTTGAGAAATACCTCTTTAGCGATTCTGCTATGCGAAAGAGAATTATGGACTAAAACTTTGATACTTTTGTATTATGTTGGATTTTAATAAATATTTATTTATGGAGGTATAGGAGCGTATCACTCTCGAAGGAAAATCACTTCCTTATTTCCTAGCATATATATGTTGGCTTTAATTATGATACTGACGCGCATGACAGACGTTTTACTTCTCCTGATCCTCAGCTATATTCCAGTACAACACAATATATGTATATTTCCGTTTAAGATAATGTATAGATAGACCACTCGAAAGCATGATTTGATGCATGCCACACTCGTGTTGCGTATTTCCGCGTGTTGATTTATATCGTAAAATTGGAATTATGCACATGCCGATGAATATGAGAAAAACAATCAAAATATTCGCGTTATTTACGTCGAAAGCGAACAGAATCGATTCGGTCCATAAATTTGCATACAATAGCGATACTTACTGGAAAATTTTTACGATTCAAACACTTCCGTCAATCGCCGTTAAATCCGTGAACTCCAGCATTGATCAACATCGGCGACGGATTCTCGTCACGGTGCAATCGCGAGGTCGTTTCTTCTGTTCGCCGGTCAGTTAATAGCTCCGTTTCTTTCCTATACCGATCCTTCATTGACTTCCGAACGTGTCCGCGGCCAACCGTTTCGCGACGCCGTAACTCGTGCCAATCGATGGTAGATTTGCGTGACCGTGACGCAAAATGCACCACGGTGCCTCCTACTTTGTTCGATTTTTGCGGCGCGGCATTTTAATGTCTCTTAACAGTTCACAGTGATTCAGCCATCGTTTCGTCCTTTGTAATTTATCGTCTTGCCGACCTGCTGCGTCCTTCCACGCCGTCATTCTAGTTCGCACGTGCTGCGGATAAAACCAAATACTGCATTAGCCCATAATTATATTTTGTGAAAATAGCAAAAAACAGTTTATTGTTAATTTTTTTAAAGCATTAATATATCTTTGATAAATATTATATGGAGCAATTTTATTTGCATTGATTTATTATATTTAAATTGATATTTAAAAATAATGAAAGGATTTTTTGCCATCTCTTAAAATTTATTAATACATAATGGAATTACATTAGAAGAATTATTGTAGATAGACATTAAACTACAATATATTTACTAAATCTATAGCACACCGTTGTATATATAGATAATCAATTATTTAGGAAAAAGCGCGACTGAATGTAAAAACTGTAAGTTTCTTAATCAAAGGTTCTTTCTCGCTCAACCATTAAAAATTAAATTATTACGTATTTTATAATTATGTCTGCGATTAATTACGATCTCTAGGATGACGACCACCCACATAATCGAATTAACTATAAATATAAAGCAACGGTCACTTTTGAACCTATCATTCACCTATTTATAATAAATGCAGTAGAAATTACATTAAAATTTTTTATTTTAGATCATTATGCATGCATATTATTATGCTTAAAGTTTTATGACTAAATAAATCAAACAAGTGTTAATATTAATAATAAATTAAACATCTCTTTTAGAAATTAAAAATAAAAAAAATTTTTATTAAAAAAATATATAACTGAAATATTATATATTTATATATTTTTATTCAAAAATAAAATATTTTAAGAAAAATTAGTTAACACATGTTTAAAATTAGAAATAAACTATTTAAATAAATCTAGCTTTACAAAAATACATTTTATTAAACGCATTTTCAGTATGTGAATATATCGTGTGTGTGTGTGTGTATGTGAAAAGTATATTTTTTATTTAATTAATTCTCGCAAACATTTCTGACCGAGCACACTTAATATGCGTTAGCCTTTTATCTTCTATTAATTTGTCTAGCAATTATTCAAATGACCGTATGAATATAATTATACACAGCACTCACTCATTTAACCATGATAAATAGTTTAGTTGCGATAATTATCTCTCTTTGATTAACATTTAATTAACCGTTGATTATTCAATTATGGGAAAATATTTCATTACATTCAATTGAGCCCTCATACAGGTAATAAAACACATAATCGTTAGATAATAACCTGTTGATATAATTACACAAAAACAAACTGACACATATCAATTTACAATTAAGTAGAAAATAGTATGAGTTTTATTGATCTCAATGATTAGTACTAATGACAAGTATCATGTCTTAATTGAATATTAAAAAATATATATTTAGGAAATAATTGTTTAGCTATAATTCATTACTTAGAACAGTAATAGCTTTTGGACTTTCGAATTATTTGCATTAGTCACGATCTTATAGCCCAACATAGAGACCCAATTGTTCTCGAATTTCGATATCATAAATAACAATTTCGCGGATTTCCGGGTGGACCCTCGTTCTCCATAAGAAACCGCAGAGACCCGACAGGAAAGATGATTGGCGACCAGGAGGGAGAAACGAGTTTATCCGGATGGAGCCCCCGCTCCTCAACCCCCCGCTGTCGAACGCGCGATGGGAATAAAATGTGAAACTGTAAATTGTGCGTGGAAAGAATCGGTCCCTGGGCGGTCGTGGTGGTCGACCATGCTTTCGTGGAATAGTTGGGGGTGGAATGGCGAATGGGGGTGGAAAGACTGGACGGATGGCGGGAAACAGCACAAGAAAGGATCGGTTCTCGCTCGAGCAAGGCGAGGATCTTCGAGGATTTAAATGCGCGTTCGGGCGAACGAGATGGAGGGTGTATTTCTCGTAGATTCGAGGGTTAGAAATTTGTTAGGTTACGTCGGACTATCACTCCCTGGTGAATATGAAAAAAGAATTCCTCACGAAGCTTTCAAGGGTCGACCACAGTTGGAGGCGGTGTGTCGGTGCTCCTTGCCGACACCCCTTGCCCCCGTGAGAGAGCGGCCGGTTCGTGGGGGTTGAGGTGATGGTTGTACGAGGAGAAGCTGGTGGCAGGAGGGTAGGAGGGATGTAACACGGTGCCAGGAATATAAAGCGGGGGATAAAGGAGATGGCGGTCACATATGCGACTCGTAAAAGCTCTTCTGAAAAGCTGCATCCGTCCTGCCCCCTTTTTTCTCTTTTTTCACGACGATTCCGTCGGAAGAAGAATCCAGCCTCCTCCATTCCAACGACGACGTGGCTTTCGCGCTTTCAACGTCGCGGTTGACCACAAAAATTTGGCTTTGGGATATGATTTAACGTGAGATGTTGTGAGAAATATAAATCGCGTATTAATTTAATGCTGTAGTTTTTACCATAAAGCTTATTTTATTCTCATATCTTATAATTACCAATGTATCTAAAAAGATATATATACATTTAAAGAGAAATAATCGATAATATTTTATATTTCAAAAAAGAGGAGATACAACATTTTTATATCTTAAGACATCGCGCATTTCTTTTTCTTTTTTACATTAAAAGTAATAGTGATCGGCGTAGTTTTAAGATATTTAAATTAAAAAAGAGAAGATTAAAATCTTATATAGCATATTACAATGCATACTATTAAAGCGTTGTATAGCCACAGGTCAGTTCTTAAAAGTATGGCAACGTTGCGTTTCTATGGGAACGTGACTTACCCCGGTTATCTCCTAATACCGGCGAATATTAAGAAATGCCGTTCTCGAGTGGCATTTCCGTACATTTGCGGACGGAAAATGAGCCATTCGTTTGCCGATCGGAATGAGGTACTGTCTATGCATGGCACGGACGCGCCACCATACAATCGTCCTATAAATAATCGTCCTCTTCTTTTAACCTAAACCTCTTTGCTCTCTTTTCGGCCGCAACCCTCCTTTTTCTTTCATCACTCTCTCACTTACTTTCTCTCCCTGCTTTGATGTAAGTGTATTCGAGGATATCGTACGAGCATCCTAGGATAAGAAAGACACATAACTAGAGTGGCAATATAAGAAACACAATGGAAAATGTGGGAGAATGTGTAATTATATAGAAATATTATGAAAAGACACTTTTGAAATGTCTTACCGTACGCACGTAATTTATCTGACCATCGTCAATATATAATATAATGTTAATTGTTTGAGTATTCAATTAAATACGACAGACAACTTTTATATCTTATCTATTGATGAAATTAAGCGACCATTAAACGTTTTAATTTCTATAATTGAATTGTTTCAAAAACTATATTCAAGATGATCCAATAATGGGAGTCGAAACATCTGTAATTATTTCATTTCTGAATATATGGTATTCTTACACGCCAACAACCTGTGCTGGCTCACATTGGTTTTCTATCTTCCTACGATTATGAAAAGAATTTATTATAAAAATTATTCTTTTTTTTATCAATACATCTTTTCTGTCGGGATATTTTTATTTTTTGAAATGTATATAAACCACTTATATTTTGGTACAATTCAACTTTAAAACACTATTTTTGATATTTAATAACAACAACAAAACAAGAAAGTTATAATTATCGATGTCTCATTAAAAAATTAGCAAATGATAAACAAGTAAATAAAATTTCTCTTTTTAAAGCTTAAAAAAATTTTTACATGTATTTGCTGTAATAAAAAGAAGACATCTGTTTTACGATATTTACTTCAAATAAACATCGCTCCCTTTTTCTCGCTCCCATTCTTTTAACTTCTCGGACATAAATGGCGAGTTACAAAAAACACCTCGTTTTGAATGCGACTGCTTTTTGCGGTAGTACTGACCAACGCTTCCAGACAATTCTTGGCGGGTTTGTCGATCGTTTAATCGTCCATTTCCACCTGTCAGCCCAAGTCGATGGAAGCACAAAGGCGATCTCTATCCTGAGGAGAAACTCTCGCAAGAAAGCGAGGCAACATTCGGCTAGGAGGGTTGCGGGAATGGGCAGTGAGGGAAAAGGATGTGCGGGCAGGGCAAGAAGAAGTCTGACATTCGAGGAGTCGACAAAGATTATGAAGCGCATACTGTAGCGAATAAAAATGGTTTCCGCGGCGGGGGAGAAGCGGAAAACAGAGACATTGTTCGTCGCAAAGAGTTCCTGGAGGATGCTCCATGAGAGAATAAGAGAAGGCATAGTTGTGGGACTAACGATAAACGTCCTGTGTTCAGCGCATAGCATATAATTTTACGTAATACTTTTTAACTTATTTTCATTAAATAATAAAAGTGGTAAATGAAAAATCTTATTGTTCATTTCGTTTCAGTATAAGAAAAGTATGAAAAGATAATAATTACAATGAAGATATCTTGAAAATTGCAGGCAACATGTTTTAAAATTCTAGCCTTTTACATACAAATGTGTTAAAAATTATCAAGATTATTTTTACTTTGTAATTAGAGATTTTCCATCAATTATCATATTGTTTTCAAAGATACTACACAAAAGCTTGCAGCTATATTGTTGCAACGTTTGCAACGTTATTGCAACGTTGTTGGAACGTTGCATTATTGCTGCAATATTACTAGAATGATCTGTATTATATGGATTAAAAATTAAATTGTTATTATTATATTGTATATCTCGTATTTGGCATCGAAACATTATGCGAGCGTTACAAAATCAATTACAACTGCGATCCCCCATGCCTAGTGTGAATGAATCGGGATATTCGAAAAAAAAAAGAAAAAAAAACAATTGCGAAATGCAAATACGGTTCACGCAGATTGTGGAAAGCAGATAATGGATCCTGCTTTTGAACGATGCTCGTGAAGTGGAAAGCTTAAAATAATTAATCGTACTTAACGGTAATGACTCGACGAGATTTAAACCAGTCAAATGCGTTCCGCTTCCTACACGCCAGCGCGTCGGATTACGGCAAAAATAAATATTTTTTATAATGCAGGAAATTGCCATCCCACTGTAATAAGTAGGCATCAAAGGTGATTGTTAATCAAGGAACCAAATTACTAGCGAGAATATTATCTTCGCGATCTTACGCGTTCATGTATGATGCTGTAATTGTAAAGTAATGCGCATTATATGTGTAATTCTAATGCACATTATATAGTATTCTACAGCATAAAATTCGATATTCATAAGTATTTGTATTCTAGAAAGAACTCAGATATCTATTCAGATTGCATTTTGATATATCCATAAGAATTAATGTATAACAACAGCAAATACAGTTATTAGAACACAGTAATATTTTAATAAATTAATTAGTTTAGTAATAGATAAAGTGAAACAGAAATAGTTGTCTGGATGATAAAAATTAGTCGATACAAAATGATTATTAAATAGATTAAAATTAAAAAATGTAAAAAATACACATAGATTAAGCATTATCTAATTAATATAACAGTCGATAATATATAACAACGATATGGTAAAATGAGCAACATTAGAATGCATATTTTAGCTAAGACAACCTGTGGAGTTAAATACGCCGAAATGACTCTAACTGATATTTCTAGCAAAATGAATCAGTGATTGATCTGTGATTGTGATGTAAAACTGCGATTATATGGACAAGGAGGAGATGAGGGCTTGAGAGCTTGAATGACACCAAGACCAAGCAGGGTGAATTTTCTTGCTCGATGGACATCTTTTTCTTGCGCCGATTGTGCGCTATGTGGTCGTCGCGACACAAACAGCGTATGATTGAGTGAACGCCGCAAGGGATTTTCTGGCGTAGGAATGGCGGAGTGAGTTTCGAAGTGTGTGGCGCGACGAGGGATAGAATGGTAGAAAGAATATAGACATTTAGCTGTACCGAGAGGGTAAGGCGCCTCGTACAGCCTCGTGGGAGCGTAACAGCCCCTAAAACGATGTTGCCGAATATACAGCTGTCCCTTTTTTCTTCTCGAAATTTTTGCGCGCCAACGTGCGCGTCTGATCTTTAAATTTCTCAATTTTGGATTTTGTTATAAGAAAAAAGAATATTTATTATTTCAAAACGACGGTTAAATAAATATTTAAATTGTTAATTATTTTTAATATTTTGTATATGAAATTGTATATGAAGTTAATATCAATAAAAAAATGAAGAATATAAATGTAGTTTAATTAAATCTTTCTTTTGTAACGAAGATATATACTTATATTATGATTGCAACTAAATACAATATAAAAGAGTATAATTAAAGAAGTGAAAGATTAAAAAATAGAAACAAAGTTATCCCTCAATCAAATTAATCGAAACCGGTTCGGAAATCGAAATTGAACTGTAAGATACGTCATCATCGGAGCTTTATTCGCTCTTTTCCATTTCGAAGTAAACGAAATCATCTCTTCCTTCTCTTTCCCTCTTTTTCTCTCCTCTCTCTTTCTCTTTTTCTTTCCCCTTCTTTCGTTCTTCGCCATCAGTAAAAACGGAAGCGGAGGGCTTGGAGGTTCCTGGTTTATCCGACCGGCGCGGCATTTCTGCTCGCGTATCGCGGTATCCTATCGTATCGATATGACTTCCCTGAGGGTCGCTCGAAGTAAAATCATTAGTAATGCCATTGTGTTGCCCTTCATCCTCAACCATTCTCGTTCCCCGAGACAACCGATGCTCGACATGCCCGCGGCCCTTTTTTGCAAAATCGAGCGATGAAAGGCAAAAGGAATCCAATCATTTTTAACTTATCTCGTAATATGATTATTTTCTATATCGTTATATTTAAAATTAAGTAAATTAAATAAATTATTAATTAGTAACAGTGAGTCCTGGAAAAATATGATGTGGATTGTATAAATGTTATTTTATATATTTTAAATAGCTATTCATATGTATACTAAAAATAATTAAAGTAAATATTTGTTTTATATTTTTACAATCGTGAGAATATCAATAATAACACGCTAGAGGAGTACATTTATATGAAGAACTAATAATTCTTGTATAATTCCTGTAATTTATTTCGTAAATTGACGAGGAACCTCGCATATCATAAAGTAGAATAACATCTCCCAAATGGACCGGCGATATTTTATATCGATCAAAACAGCCTTCATCACACTCAGTATCGCACGCATGGCCTAAAACGTTTCAAGTGGAAATTTTTCACTTTGATTCCAGTATTTATCGGCACTCGTTACGATCACTGTAATCGACATGCAATTAGCCCGAGTAGATTAATACCGCTCGAATACTGGTAATGGGTACTTTGCCGATATGTATGTATGTGTGTATTTCGCGCACAAATACACATGTGTACCTGTTATGAAAGAGATACAGATGCCGCCCGTTGCACAACAGGAAGAAGAAAACGAAAAATGAACCACTCCATTCCAATATTTCAAAAACGTATTATATAAAGGGCTAAAAATATTATATTTTAGTTTTAATATAATATGAACACAGAGCGATAATAATTTGGCTGTATAATAAAAAAATCATATTCATTGACGAACAAATCTGATTGTTATAATTATTAAACTAATAATAAAATTATGCAAATATAATTAAATTATATAAATATTAATATAGATATAAAAAAATAAAATTCTTTAAATATAAGTAATACACACCGTTGTATATAATTTGTAACAAATTGTAGAAGCTTTTTTAGTAAAATTAACATTTTATTTATTTATTTTAAAATTTATATTTTAAAATACTTTTATGTTAATTATTTACTCATAAATTGTGAAAAAAAATTCAATGCAAGAATTTTAACAAGGATCAATTTTAACATAAATACGAAATGTTCTTTACTGTATATAATATATAGATCTCATTATCACATATACATGATAGCTTGCTTACATTTTTTTATTGAGCTCATTGTGCTGCAGACATTGACAAGACTGTACGACAAAATTTTTATATTTGGACGCAGTTGTTATCATTTTATATAGTAAGCTACAAGTCGTAGAAAATCGTAACAATCGGAATTTCGTATAAATGATACTGTCGCGATCGGTAATCCGGCGCGCATTCTAGACGTGCTATAGGACATTCTACAGCATAGTATCTCCGTTCGAGACGACGCCCATTCGATATTTCGCGAGATATAATATAGATACACGTGCGCGATATTCCACCCGTATACGTACGATGTATCGATACAGAGTGGTAGCGGGTAGGTAGAAAGGTACGGGGGAATATGATGCGCTCCTATCCAGATATGTGAACGACGCAGATATAATACAGGTACGTACCTATATACGGGATGCCCGAGTCCGGGGATTCTCTGCCGCGGACGTCTGCTTCACGATAAGATACGGCGTGCAGCTCCGTCCGAGATCTCTCCGGTTTTGCAGAAAATTCGCGGACCCCCTTTATCGGGTTTCCTGATAGCGTTCCTTTTTTCCTTACGGGCGGCCAGAGGCGGGACGAATTGGGGGGAGGAAAAAAGGAAGTTGAAGTCCACACTGGAGTGGATATCGACATTTGGTTCCGTATAAACGGCTCGAATCAGATTAGAAGCCCGATCGCTGGATGCCAGCAGCGACTTCGATATAATCAAAACGAATTTTCGACGATTCTCTTGATAGTTACGATGTAATAACTGTCGCTAGCATAAGTTGTCTCAAGCAGAACTTATAAGGCTGATGTTGAGAAAAATTGCGGAAATATTGGTAGATTATCGACGTGATGACAGAAATATTGTTGATGACATAAAAAGTTGGTCACTATTATGATTCTTATAAGAGCTCTCTTTACATTACATTTTTTATTATTACCGAATTGATAAAGTTAATTGCGTTATAATCGAATTGCAAGGATTGATCAATTTTTCTTCAACGCACGATAAAGTGAATCGTCAGCTTTACCTATGAGGTGGACTATAGTAAGGATCAGTGGAATTTAAACGTTACGTCGAAAGGATTTCGGATTAGATATCGCTTGCATCCTGCGGCGCGTCTATCGGTCCTTCGACAACGGAGATTGAACAAAACAGCAATCAATAAAGACGAAGTTAGTATCCGTACGACGGATTCCTTCAATCAAATTAGGAACATCAAAGTACCCAAGCAAAGGCAAAGGAAAAGGACGAAAGGACGAAAAGGTGAACAAGAGAAGATCTTGTGCAGGATAGAAGTCGACATTCCTCGAAGGGTGGCTGCCAGGAATTAGCCTCTATCTTCAGAATCCGAACTCTCGAGACAAAGAGCCATCCCTCGTTTCTTTTTCTTTCCAACCCCTGACTCTCTTCGTCATCTTCCTCAGCTCGCGTACCCGAACATCCTTACGCTTCTTGATATCAGCTCGCTTAAGAAATCGTCTTGGGCGTGGTCATCGTGAATCGAGTCCAATAATTTGCCACTGAAATGCTAAAGAGATAATCCACGAGATAAATCGACGATCTGTAAATTTCGTCATTCGCGAAATAGAACATTATATGTTATTTGATTAAAATTCTAGGCATAGAATAGATTTCTAGGCATAGAAGAAAAATATAACGATAATTTTATTTAGACGTTGTCTGCGGAAATTACACCAAGAGAAAAATGTACTAAATTTTAATAAATATTTATTTGAACAGTGCCAATTGAATATTTATTAAATGTAAACGTATATTTATTTGGTACAAAAACATTAATTTGATTTAATTATTAAATTTTTTTACTTAAAAAATAATTATTTTCTGTAAATAAATGTTATATTTTAGTTTATTTAAACAATTATTTATTAAAATTTAGTACATTTTTACTTCACACTGAGAATTTTTTTTTTAGAATTTACCCTGAAAATGGTAATCCTGGGACAACATTGTATTTGGAAGAATTTTATGTAAATTTCTTTCATTTATTAATAAAACTATAATAAAATATAAAATAAGTTTAATTAATTTTACTGAATTACATAGTAAAAATATTATATTGTACCACAACTACTATTTCCAGGATAAATTAAAAAAAAATTCTCTCCGTGAACATTTGCTATTTTTATACGCTTTCGTATTTATGTGTTTTACATATTTATATGCGATAATTATAAGGTACGAAGTTCGCATCAGAAAGCGTTTTAAGAAAATTGGAAAAGATTTTTAATGATGACGCAGGAAAACTCGTGTTCACGTCATAATTTTTGCGCGATATTTTTCCTCACTAAAAATATACGCATGATATTATCTCGTAATTGCGCGGCGCGCAACAATCAGAATGAAAAACTCCCGGTCTGTTTGATGTCTCAGCACGCATGGTGCGTGGTCGGTTGATGAGCCGCGAGTGCACATCCGTAAAAATCTAGCGAATTGCCGTTTTCCGTGCGGTATGTGGCGCGTGTCGTTATTATACATTTATTTATTATAATGCCGCGATCTCCCGTACACTGTAAAGTGCGAATGAAAATTGTGCTGCGCAGAAATAACTGACGAACGCTATCTATAATGAAGTTTACAATGGTTTAGCTATGAGGTCATGTGTATAATAAAAAAATAGATTAGTGCAGTAATAAGTAGAGCAACAATTGTAGTAATAATAATAGTAATAGGAATGACAATGGTAATGGAAATAGGAGTATTGTAATTAATATTTCTAACAACATTATATACAATGCAGATATAAAGACCACATGGCACATAAAAAAAATTAAATTAACAATAAAACGTAAGAAATTTGGCCAATTATAGTAGAGAACGTAAAATAATAATGTAATCAATAGAGGATCAAATCCAAAATGTCTGCTTAAGTTTTTTTTGTGTGCCATAATCTTTAGACTTTGTGGAAAAGTATATAACAGCAAGGAGAAATACTGATTTAATCTGTTCAGTTATGAATAAGTAATGCAATTATAAAATTGTATTGTAGCATATTCTCAAGCAATATTAAAAGACGTTTTATTGTAATTGAATACTACAGCGGTATTTAAATGCGACGTAATAACGGCAGTAAAACTAGCAAGTAATTTTCCGATATCTTTTAGATAACGCGAAATGAAACATCTCGGAAATCCCTCGTTCGAATAAACGCAAACACTTTGAGAGGGAGTCTTAACTCGCAAACGCGAGCAAATCTCCCTCGATCGTCGTTCTCTCGCGCTCAACGAACGCAGCAGTCTTTTCGAGCACATCGCTATCGTAGAAGTTCACGATCGCACGATCGGAAGTTCCAAAAATCGTGTAAACGACCGCTCCTTGCTACGATCCCGGGTGGAGTGTCGTTGCGCCGGGGGTGAAAAGATTTGACGCGTAGACAATGGCCGTTGCATCTTCGAGCGATACGATGAGAAGAGGGGGTAGCGAGGGGGTCCTGGTAGTTGCAAAGATGGGGGGGGGGTGATGGCAGGAAAGGGAGGGAAAGGGAGCTCGCGCAAGCGCCCCCAGGAAAGTGGTGGCATAAGCGGTCGCACGGGAGAAACCACCCCAGCGGTAGTACGGCTGGTGAGTCCGAGACGGACGTCTAAGAGAAAGAAAGAAAGAGTGAGACAGAGGGAGGCAGCGAAAGACGGGGGCGAGTAGGGGGATGTAAATGCCCCCGTGATGTATCGGATCGATGCCGCAGCATCCAGACACCCCCCGCCTTACTACGCGACCTAAAAACGTTCTCCGAGGCAGGAATGAGTTACGGCTATCCTTTTCCTTTCATCGTAATTTCCTGTCCGGCCGGCTGATCTTATTGGACTGCAAGATATTCGAAATCTTTGTTATATCGAGTCATTACAGGCTGTAGCTCTCAAATTAAATACACCATGTTTAATCTGCATAATTGAAGATGCAAAAATTTGAAGAATTTTTGATATAAAGAAAAATTAAATTTGATTTGTACAAGATTTATACATAAATGTGTAAATGGTGTTGTAGCGTCTATCAAAAGGAATATAAATTTCATTTTAAACTATCTGCAATTATTTTCTGTTTCTCGTTAAAAATTATTATCGGAGCTTACATTCCGAGCGATCGACACTCGCACTTCGCAGTGCCGTGCGCGAGACCTGTAATAACCGCGTTTAAGCTCGCGATGATACTGCCGAGTATCGTTAGAGAAAGTTCTCGTCGCAGTTTCAAGATTTCCTCGTTTGCCGAACTTTTTTGTACCGAACCTGGACAACCGCCGGTCCCATCTCGCCGCGCCGGCAGTACATAGCTACGCCACATACACGCGGTATGGCCTGGACTGTACATCCCGAGGCAAGTTTACGGATAGATACATTTTCTGCGAGCCAGAAGCGCGGCGGCAAGCGAAGTTACTCGGAATTGCGGGCGAGGCGACGATGTTCGTGCTTTTACTTGCCGACAACTTTTCTGCAACCGGAGGGATGGCTCTCTCTCGTGCAAAAGCCCTCGGAACACCATCGACGGGAACCGACGTATGCTATTAATGAACATGTGTGAACCACCATCTTGTGCACTGTGCAGTTTTCACAGTATCTCCTGGGTGACTTTTAGGTTTACGATTTGCTCCTTAGCTTATAACATCTTGTCGTTGTCACAGAGAAATTATTTATGTTCTACTCTAAGAAGACTTGCTATATTATATCCTAAGCTACTATATTAGAATTCAATTTACTTCTCAAGTAGGAGGGTGATATTTTAACAATGTCTTATTGGTATTAAAGACGTTATTAAGACGTTATTAAAATATATTTTTGACGTCATCTTGCTACTTAGGTTCTTGCAAATATTTCATGAAACATAATTCATCTTAAGTTGAATACCCAATTTTTCTTTAACTTTATTGTCCTTAAAAAATATTTATCGTAGTTGCTTATAAAATATTACTTAAATTTAACAATTTGTAGCTAAAGGTATGTGTTGTATGAAAAACTGTATTGCAGCTATCAAAATATAGCATTAGAAAAATCTCGAGAAACACGATTTTATTCCTAGAACACGCGGTAGCATTATTTAGTTCATACGAGCTTTCACATTTGCGGGATTTTATTGAGGTCGATTATTCGTTCCGTCGTAAGTTATCAACGCGGAATAAAAAAGTACAATCATGTCACGTGCGCGCCATGTTTTACTGGGAAAACGCTGCAGTCGTCGATTGCGCGTGCACTTATCGATTCTCGCGCATATACAGATCTGCATTTATTGATAACATTGACGTTAACCGGAATAAAAGAGCGGTAATTGCTGTGTTAACTTATGGCTGCATTTGCTCATTAGCACCCGGCGATGCGGCTACTTTAATTAGCAAGTCGAAGATACCCCGCAGCGCTCACGTTCCGTATAAAAGTCGGCCGTAATGGATGACCGCGATAGCGTTTAGTAGATGCATTTTCATACAGCCGCCGGCAATGACGTACTTACATCCGGATGTACCAACAACGGGGTAAATGTGTACGGTAAACGTGCGTACACTTGAGCGCGAAATACGGTCGGGAAAGAAAAAAAGCGATTTTATTGAATCTTGTGGCAATATTATATAGACCGTGTTCTCTGATAATTAAGGGAAAATACAAGCTTACAGTGTAGTAGCGTAAAGTGGAAAATAATTACTGCAGTAAATAAAAATTTAAATACGCCGTTTGTTGCATTTATTATATTTCAACATCATTGTCATACGTATATCATGTAGATATGTAACGTAAAGAAAGGGA